ACACATGGGCACAAGTAGAGCCTATTTTACTACTAGCACTGCCACATTCTGAATCAGATCTAACTTCTGGATGGTCTTCCAAAGCAGCCCCATGTATAGCAGATTGCAAATATAAATACTATAAAAATTACAACTAATAAGTTAACTAATGTCAAGTCAACCAACTGAGGCAGGGGGTTGGTGGGGAAATTGCCCATTGCCTGGTCTAAATAGTAAAATATGATTGTGAGGGAGTGCAGTCATGTCAGCAATTTTTACTCATAAATGGGAGGAAAGCATAAGAAAGAGACCTGAGATTGGCTGGCTGAAAAGTCAGTATTTTGCCAATTATTTCAAAAATTGTAATGTGGGTAATAAAGGTTAGGGTTTGCTGTACTCTCCTAGTATTGTGAAACTGTTAAATTTAGTTCATTTGGCTGCTGCAAAGTTTTCTGAAATATGAAAAATTGCTTAGAATTGTTCTTGAAGTTTTTGGATCTTAATACTTTAATCCATTCTATTTCTATATTTTTGGTGAATCCAGCTGCTTTTATTCACATGGAAACTGATGTGGCTTGTTGTTCTGTTCTGGATGACTTCCAGGTGTTAATATTAAAGTATATTACTGAAAGAGATATAACTTGGTTGATTTAGCTTTTGTTCCTTTTTTATCTGCCAGTTTTGCACACCAGTGATTGCATCTGCTTATTTCAGCTGTTTCACACTTTTACCCACCATATGGATTGCAGTTAAGATCATCAACCAGCAGTTCACCGTTGCATATGCAAAGTTACGTTCTCACACTGTAATCACACAACCAGGATACTGCACCAATCTATCACAAGCAAAAACTTTTAAACAATAGTGGTTGGCAAAAAAAAGAGCAAGAGCTATTGGTTCAATAATTAGGAAAATATTTACATGACCAAGTGAGAGGGTGAAAATTGATTGATTTAACAGCCGATCTGATACAACTTCTGAATCTCAAAACCCTATGGTTCTTTCCTCGATAATCCTTCCCCGCCCCATTCCTTTATACTTAACTGTGAACTATAACTAGCTGTGCTCCAAAATGATTTGAGCTATAATTCTCACACGATCCCCAATTATTAACTGGGAACGAAGAAAATTGAACTTCAAAACATTTATGAAAGAAAGAATGAAAAAGGAGTACGAAGCAGAAACCTCCTCGATCTATCAAACGTCACATATATCATTTCAGTACAACGATAGTTATAATCGCTCTTTTTGCCACAGACGAAACTCTTTGTACAAGCCAACAGAGTCTTACCGATAGAAATGTTTAACGCTTACCGGAAGTGCGGTTTATGTATGTTAAGCCAAGTCGCACAACAAAAACGTCATTTCCTATAAACGTTTGTGGGAATCGGAACCGCATCGCCTGGAGTCAACATGCCGAAGTGAGTGAACTGGGTAGACTAAGGATGAAAATGCAGGACGGGTGGGTGGGAAAATGTGTGTTCTGAAAAAGGAGAGAGAAGAAGAAGATTCTGTAATACGAGCAGCGTCTCTTATTGCTTGGCGAAATTCATTTCTATTTGAACATCGCTTTAGTTTTTCCTCCAGTATTTGCAGTTGAAGTTTTCCTCCAGTATTTGCAGTTCTCGCTTTTTGGGCACACATTTCCAGGAAAATAAATTTCCTTGACTGCCAAGTGCATTAGATACTAACAGTTGTGTATGATTGATGTTTCCAGAATCAGGAGTCGGGTCTAAGATTGCTAGATCCTGGCTGTTAAAAGTGCTGATCCTATCTGATACATTTTATTGTGTGGTCATTTATACAGGTAGTTCTCAACTTACAACAGTTCATTTAATGACCTTTCAAAGTTACAATGGCACTGGAAAAAGTGACTTATGACAGTCTTTCACAGTTATGACCTTTCCAGCATCCCCATTCGATCAAAATTCAGATGCTTGGTAACTGGTTCATATTTATGACTGTTGCTGTGTTCCCTGGTCATGTGATCCCCTTTTGCTACCTTCTGACAAGCAAAATCAATGGAGAAGACAGATTCACTTAACAACAAGGTTACTAACTTATCAGCTGCAGTAATTTACTTAACAATTGAGAGGAAAAAGGGCATAAAAAGGGGCAAAACTCAACAAATGTCTCACTTAACAAAAATTTGGCTCAGTTGTCATAAGTCGAGGACTATCTGTACAAACAGGCATACTTTTTTCCCCCTAATTTTATCGCTAGGACAGCGAAATTATTACAGTGAGTTGATGGAACTGCTTTATATATAGATATAGCTATGCTAATATATTTGAAGTAAATACAACTGAACATTTAAGATTTTTGAAGAAAATTTGCTTTTACTATAAAAGCAAAGAATTAGTAGGCTTACTAAAATATGTTAAAGATTTCCTAACGTGTTAAAGAAGCTAGTAGCAATTATTCCTACTTCCTATGAATATTTATTTTGCCTTTCAGGTTTTATTGTGATTACTGTGATACTTATCTCACCCATGACTCTGTAAGTAGAAATTTTCATTGTGTTATGATCAGAAATTTAAAATAATTTTTCCATTTAATTATTAGTTCTGATTATATTTCTTAGTTAAGAATTGGAGTTTAAAACTGGTTAATATTTTTGTAGGCAACTGTAAAGAAGTGCAAAGAAATGATGAGAATGAATCTGTTTAGATACTCATGCTGGAACTATTTAAACTGCTTAATTGCAGTTATAATTAAAGCACTGAGAGAGAAATGAACTAGTAAAACATAAATGCAAATTTTAAAGGCTATGAGAATTTATTGGGAAGCAATTTTTGTGACCAGAAATATGCATCGGAGATAAATGTTGGGTTTGAAAGTATAATGAGTACCAGGAGAGTAATGGGGTGTTCTTTTCTTCCAGCCGTCTGTGAGGAAAACCCATTGCAGTGGCAGAAAACATAAGGAGAATGTGAAAGATTACTATCAAAAATGGATGGAAGAACAAGCACAGAGCCTGATAGATAAAACAAGTAAGTCTTATTCATTTCAAGTATTGTTTTGTATTTATCAGTCCTGAAATTCTGCCACGAAGTACAGACACTGTTTTGTTCTATTCTCATAAAATGTTGGAATGAAAGCTGTTTAGGATTGTGTTTGACAGCAGAACAACCATCCATAAACTGGTGGACAACGTATGGCAGACATAAATTTGGTCTATAAAGAATAGAACCAAATTAAGTGCTGGGGAGAACTGGCAAAAAAAATCTAAACTTCAAAAATAGGCTGGATCTAGCTGAGGACTGCTGAGAAATAAATGTATTTATTTATTTAACCTTTATTAGCCACCCAACTCCAATGGACTGTCATTGCATCCCCATGATAAACGGATCTGGGTAGTAACTCCTGCATTAGAACCTCTCCTTACTGGTCACATAATCCAGAACATTCAGGGCTTGGAAAGGATTTCACCAGCCATGTTCTACATGCTTTCTTTACTTTGTGATTAGAGTCTCCAGAAAATCCATGTCTTCCTCAGCATCCTGTATTAGAAACAGGGATTCTAAAAATTTATAGGCCGTGCTATGTAGAAATAACTGCTCTATTTTAGTGGAAAAATATTGAATGCATATTCTAAATTCCTAAAAGCAAACCCTTGATATAGTCAGTATTTCATAAGAAATATTCAATATTCTTTGTACTGAACTGATATGATTATTTGGTTTTGTTTATTTTAAAATATTTAGAAAATTATTCTCTTTAAAATTTTCTGAACACGTTGATATATTGTTTTAGGTTTTCAAAAGCAACTCTATTTTATTCACTCACTGCTTTCAGTTTCTTCATGAATATTTTAAATGGAAGTTGATTCTAATGTGTTCACTGCAGTTTGCCAGTAAATATATTTAGGATTTCAGATTTAGCTGGGAATACTTCTCATAGAATTTGTATCAACATGCAAACTGTGGAAAAAGTGGAAGCATGGAAAAAGTATTTGTGCATTATGTGATAATCTCTTATTTTTAGTTTGAAAATATCCCTTAAAATTGATGAAATGGATAGAATTTGCTTTTGCAATTAAATATTTTCACTTGTCTGGAAATAAATTCAGACAATTATATACCTTAATAGGGTGGATTGTTTGAAATTTTACAGAATTACACTATATATGTACTATAATTGGAAAAATATTTTTTCAGAAGTCTGTTAATTCTTATTTATATCTTTCCCCTTTTCCCCATTAATACAGCGGCAGCATTTCAGCAAGGCAAAATCCCACCTACCCCATTCTCTGCTCCACCTCCTGGAGGAGCAATGATACCACCACCACCTAATATCCGTATGTATGAATATTGTTACTCTATTTCTGGTAAATCTATTATATGAAAATCTTAAGAGAGAATATTATACTATTTTATTTAATATTAGTTATTCATTTTAAAAAAAATATTGCTCCTGTTCTTAATAAGTTATGATCCAATAGATACTTGCTATTTGTACATAAATGTTAACACAAATAAAATGTTTTTACAATTTCTGAGACACTGAATTGATATACATACAAGACTGATTGACATATTTGTTTTTTGCTGTACTTTAGCTGGTCCTCCACGGCCTGGTATGATGCCAGCACCCCATATGGGTGGACCACCAATGATGCCAATGATGGGACCACCTCCTCCAGGAATGATGCCAGTTGGACCTGGTAGGTTATGGGTTGAATAAATGCTTACTTCTTTCTAGTCTGAAGACAAAGGACCAGTTGCTGTACATTACATCCTTTTAGTGGAACAGAAAACCTGCATATTAAAAGATGACTAGTGACATCTATCAAGGATCAAGATTTGGACTGTGCCATAGCAAGGAAAAATCTTTGGAAGTGGTATATTGTGAGTTGCCACAAGAAATTCCCATGAAAAAAACGGAGGACTGTGCCAGTACCATTGCAGAAGTATGACCTAGAAAGTTTAGGAATAAGGATCAGCTCTTATCATTACTACACAGGGAAACTTCCAATATTTCTTTTCTAGAATAATTATTTTCAGACCTCTTTACTTTGGAGTTACTTTGCTACCTTCTCTCACTGATCAAATTGTGATATAATTTATGTAGGTTTACAGAAGGAAGGAAATATAGGCGAAAAACTATATGTGATTTTTTTTATTTCCTTCCTTCCTTCCTTCCTTCCTTCCTTCCTTCCTTCCTTCCTTCCTTCCTTCCTTCCTTCCTTCCTTCCTTCCTTCCTTCCTTCCTTCCTTCCTAACCTTGCTTTGCTGTATTTCAATTATTGGGTGGGACTCTAAAAAGGACAAGACACATTTTTGTAATGTATTTTTTTTATTCTGAAGAGGTTGGAATTTTTCTTCTTGTTCTTTCATACTCTGGTTTAGGTTAATTGACAGGCCTTCTGAGCAAATATGCAATAAATGTTTTAGAAGAATTTGCTTTATTTCAGAACAATTAGTGTAGATTACTAATATCAAAATAGAGAATATAGAAAAACCACTTGAGGCAGTTGTAGTGGAGTTAACTGGGTACTGTATGCATTTAATTTTTATTAAGAATTTTGTTTATAAAAGTACAATGTACTTTGTTTATAAAAGTACAACTTTTCTTTCTATTCTATTCTCTTTTTTAAGTTTAAACTTAAAAAAGAGAATAGAATAGAAAGAAAAGTAAAAAGTACAAGAAAAAGAGGTGAAAGAAGTAAGAAGATAATAAAAAGAAAGAAAAGAAATATATAAAGAAGCAACTTGCGACCTTTATCACAACAAGTAAGCGAATTAGAGTCTAGGTCCTCCCTGTAAGGTTACAGATTTTATCTGTCCATCCTGTATCTATTTCTTCCTATAAACAAATCCATAAAACATCATTTTTTCAGTCCTTATGTCAGGAAAGTTCATAAGCGGTTGCTAGAACAAGATAACTTTTAACTTTTTTTTAAATAAATCATCTTTGTATTCCTTTATTTCTAATAGTTTTAATCTTTAGTTCATTCAGATGTGGTGTACTATGGATTTGATTTCTCTTTATTTCTTTGTCCCATAGAACAGAATTCTTCAAGGCTTTAACAAACCTCTTTTGTAAATCCAATAGGAAAAATTATCCAGGCCACTCTATTAGTTTCTCATTTACATTTCCCTTTTAAATTTTAAAATCTCAGCTAGTTTCTTTTGTAGATCCAATGAAACATCCCTTTCTAACTTATTTTCTTGGCCTGTCAGTTATAAATCTGTTTTTGCTAACCTTTTGGTGTCAGATAACATTTGTTCTGTCATTTCTCCAATAACATATTTTGAGCATAGTCTATCCATAGAAACAGACATCACTATTGACATTGTTGATATTGTGGCTACTATTTTCTGATACCATTTTTCAAAAATCTTCAGTATTTTTGTTATAATGTTTTATATCATAGGATTGTACATTTTTCTTCTAAGAACTTTAGTCCCCTCTAGTGTCAAGTTTTTGAAATTGTGAAATTGTCTATCATTACATTTTGTAAAAATCAAAATAGAATCTTATTTCCCATGAAAAGTTATTTATTCTTTATACTGTAATTAATTCCAATATTGTATTGTAATAGTTTCAATACTCCAATTTTATCTGGACCCTTAGTCCATTTATAAGATCAAAATAATTAGTTTTTTGCTGTTTATTTCAGATTCTTTAAATTCTTAGGCTTATGATTAAAATTTTCTTTCATTCAAGATTGAAGGCAGACTTATCCAGCATTTTCCAACTTGTTCTGAAGGTCTATAATAATTTAAAAATAGTTAATGAACAATTTATGAAAGTGATTAGTGCCATTTAAAAGTCTGTCATGGTTCTGAGCAAGATGACTAATCCCATCATCTCCAAACCTGTAGAAAACCACTGTCCTGTGGTCTCCTTGGGTTGAGCAGCCATCTGAAGCACATGTGGATGATCTTTTATCCTCTTCTTATCCAGAGAAATTCTAAGGAACCAGTTTACACATTGATTCCTTGGTCTTTGCCCCAGACATCAGCTCAATTTTCACAAAACAACTTATAAAATTTTCTTGAAATTTGTTTTTGTGTTGGAAAATTTAAAGAAAACAGAGAAAGTGACATATTGGCCTATAAATTAGTGGTACGTTCCTTTATGTTGTTATTTTCTTTGCTTTTATAGCTCCAGGAATGAGGCCACCTATGGGAGGACATATGCCAATGATGCCAGGACCACCAATGATGAGACCTCCATCCAGGCCCATGATGGTACCAGCCAGACCAGGAATGGCTCGCCCAGACAGATAAAGTGGAATTGGACCCTTTGCTCCCTTTTTTTAGTTGTACGCCTTTCTGATAAGCTGTGGAAGTTGCATTGCCCAAATTGTTAACATTTTTTTAAATTTGCAATCTAAAATTGGGGGAAGGAGAAAAGTCCTGGGAGAAAAAAACATAAATATTGGACAAAGGCTTTGTAGCATTTCCCAAATATTTTTTCATGTTTGTTGTCAAATAAAATATTGATAATTGGTTTCTCATGTGTTGTGGGCTGAAACTATGATGATTCCATTAAAATAGTAATAATTTATGGTTGTATGTTTCTTCCCAAAAGTGACATTGCTCATTGTGGGTGGTCCCTTCCACCACCTTTCAAATCTACACATGAATTCCAGTATTAATACTTAATTCCGAACTTGCTCTCATCCTTTAGTGTGCTTTTATCACTCTAAACTGTTGAGGTCTAGGGCGTTCTCTTCACCCTACACCTAACCATTCTGATCATTGTTCTATAACAATCTGTTTTGAAAGCTTCCTTCCACGCAATGTTTGGAATACTACTGTGATACTATCCTTAGTTGTGGGTGGGATAGAAAAAAATGGAGACTAAATTAAACTGTCTAATCCTTAGTCATCATGCCAGAGAATAGTTTTGCACAATTTGAGATGCAAGTGATTTTGCATCTTGTTGCATCTTGATACTTGTTACACTAGGTGGGATGACAGTTGATAATCAGTATTCTATATGGGTTCTTAGTGGTAAATATTTCAGTAACTTATGCTTTCTTTTTCCAATTATAAAGAAAATTTTTTGTACTTCGAGATAAAAATATACATTGATGCACTGTTAAAATTAAACAACTTGAAAACATACAGAGTGTGCTTTAAATTGTATATCAGTGGAGTATATCACTGTATTGTATATCAGCATGAGCAACCCCATAAATATGTTATGATTTAGACAAAGCCCTTCATAAACTTCCTCCTTCAGGATTACCACTTGATATGGCAAGGTCAGTGGACTTTGGAGCAGTGGGGAGTGATGGGATTATCGTTGCTAAGCAAGATGGTCATGTGATGCTTATTGCTTAGTGACAGAAATTTTGGTTTCAATTACTATCATTAGCTGAGGGTTATCTATACTCTTATTTTACAAGAACAAATGTATTTGAAACTTGATAAGTACAAACTAATGGAAATGCGAAATTGGTGACTTCTGGGGAGGCATGATAAACTAAAGATGTCTCTGTGAAAACAGAGCCGACAACCACAGCAAATATTGAAGAACTGGTGAATAGGCTGTTTCTTCAGAACCTCTCTGGGTAAGGAGAGCAGGGAGGTTGCCCAAATGTGCTCAAGACAGCTACTCATAAGGTGACTGTAGGATAATGGTCTTCCACAGGTTTGAGCATTAGGAGACGAAGGAACTGCAGCAGAGCTTTTAAAGGACAGTAAGTTTGTAAGACTTTCTAATCACTCTTGGAAATTGTTAACCATCTAAAAGCTATTAGAGGCCTTTGGAACTACAAGTTTGAAAAGTCACTGAGTAAATTTAATTTTAACTTTGAACAAATGAAAATTAATAATAAGCTTAAGAACATAAAGGATTTGAAATAAACATCAAAAAGCTAAATAAGATTTAAGAAAGTTATGAATGGATTTAGGGTAAAGTTAAATTTGGAATAATTGACCTACTACGATATATAAGATTTTGGACTTAGCTATAAAAAGAAATAGCTTCTTGTGGGAACTACAGTTACTTTAGCTATCTTGATTCATAACAAAGATGAAATGTTTTTAGAAACTGGATACTAGAGGGAACTAAAGATTCCAAGTAGAAGGAAAACAAATACAAACCTGCTTTTGGTGTCAGTTAACTGGAGCTTACAAAATGATACGAAACTGCATTAGAAAGGAGATCTTTGAAGAATGGAACCAGAAATTAGTAGCTACAATATCAACAGGATCAATAATGATACCTGATCATATGGATAGTTTATGTCCAAAAGATGCTTCTGAGGAAACAACAGATGTGGAACAAATTTTGTCTGACAAAAACAGAGAAAGTAATGGAACTACAAATGACAGGCAAAGAAAATGACCTGGGAAATATTTTCTTACCTGGATCTACAAGAGGCTTTTTAAACCCTTGAAGAATCTGTGTGATGGAATAAAGAAGAATTGAACAGAAATCAAATCCCATAACAATATTTGAATAAACAGTAAACATTAAGTCTTAAAAATAAAAGGAAGTCATATAAAGTTGTTTTATTTGATCAAGATTAAGATTCCCCCCCCCTTTTCCAGTTTTGGTAATTACCGTATAGACTTTTTGCTGACACTAGCATTTGCTGGCACTAGCATTAAAAAGTTGATATTTTATGGATTTGCTTATATATACTGCTCACAAAAATAAAGGGAACGCAAACTCCTTCAGTTCCATGTTAAAATGTTCCCTTTATTTTTGTGAGCAGTATATAAGGGATGGGATAAGGGATAAAAGATTGTAACCATATAAGGGTGAAGAGTTCCTAAATTTGTCTATACTTTTAATGAACGCTGGAAGTTACCTTACATTTTTATTTTCTTTATATTCTTTTTTGTTTTCTTTTTTACACTTTATTCTTTCTCACTATTCTTTTTTCTTTGAGTTTAGTTTGTTTTTACTGTTGTAAACAAAAATTCTTAATAACAATATATGCAAAAAAGAAAGAAACGTGAAATTGCTAAAGCAGAAATTTAAGTATTCAAAGTTATGTTTTAGGAGTAAATAAACTTAGATGAACTAGAATGGGCCACTTTAAATCAGATGATAATGCAGTATTTAGGATATGAGCTCATATAAATTAATGGAATGGCAAGGAAAATGAACAAGAGCATAACTAAGTATGTGGTTGACTACTAGGAGCACAAAACTTGGAAACAATAGTTCACACTCATTTGAAATCGTGCAGACATGTCAAACTCACGACATCACATGATGTCGCTCAACATATCGGGACGGTTTTGCCATTGCTGGCAATGGGGTTGACGCGGCTTCTGGATGACGCGTCCGGCCTGCAGGCCGGCAGTTTGACACCCTGTGTGATGGGGACAAGCAAATAATCATGGAAAAGCTCTCATAAAGATTAAAACAATCTATACTTATTTACAAGCAGAATTATAGAAAGTAGAGAAATATTTATTCAGGAACAAAAATTGTTAAAAACTAAAGTAGAATGGGTAATACAGGATCAGCTGTGTCATATAATTTCAAATTATTTTAAGCCATTGAAAGATGGTGTGTAAAATGTACATTTTTTAAATTAAAATAAGTTAAAACATGTAATAGGTCAGGAACAAAATAGGAAAGCACTAGACCAACTAAACTGTTTAAAACTGCAGAAGAACAGGCACTTAAGAGGTTTAGCAGCTCTGTGCCAACAGATATGGAGAAATATGTAATCTAGAGGTTTGAAAATACTGAAGGAGGAAGAAGAGGAGGAGGGGGATGTAAGGGAATGTGCAAATTGCACCAAGTCATTATGCAAGACATGTTTTGATGAGATCTTATAGAAACAAGAATTAGAGCCATACATGACTCCAATGTCAAATGAATGCCAAGTGAATGGGTACGTTTCAGAAAATATAAATAGACGTGATCAGATAGTTAATATACCATGAATAATGAGAGATTGGGAATACAGATCTCTGATAATTGATTATAGTAAGATCTTAATTGTGTAAATCCTGTCAAATGTGTAATAGGTATACCAGAACATAAAATTATTCTTCTGAAAAAAACTTTACAATGAATAAGAAACTATTGTAAAACCAGAGTTGGAAGGAACATGGTGGTTGAGAATAGGAAAGGGAATAATAAGGATGCATACCCACTTAATACAGTGAATATTTTATAAGAATAACAGAATTGAAAAAGATAATAGCTGTAATTAAAACAGGAGTCAACATTCTAATAATTTGAAATATAGAGATAATTCAACCTTGTTAGGTAATAATAAATAATTATTAAAACGTTGGTTATTAAAGTAAAAATAGAATGTGAAAAATATGAAATATTGAAATTTAAACCAAAAAAATTAATAACCAGTATTAACAGAATAACAAGGTTGGAAGGGACCTTGGAGATCTTCTAGTCCAACACCCTGCTCAGGCAGACAAATGGTTGGCCAACCTCTTCTTAAAAACTTCCAGTGTTGGAACAGTCACATCTTCTGAAGACAAGTTGTTCCATTGATTAATTGCTCTAACAGTCAGGAAATTTCTCCTTAGTTTTAGGTTGCTTCTCTCCTTAATTAGTTTCCATCCATTGCTTCTTGTCCTGCCTTCAGGTCCTTTGGAGTAATTATAACCACATGAATTGATTAATGGATGGATGGATAGATGGATGGATGGATGAAGTCCAAAGAAGATTTGGTTTTGTTTGGTTCAAGACTATGGTGTGTAAGAGAAATAAAAAGGGCATTAATCCCGGGAAGGAAGGCAAAGCCAAATTTACACAAAATTATGGCACATAAAGATATATCTATGAAAGTAATATATTTATATATTTCGTGTAATTATTAAAGACCAGAATAGTTGTGAAAGCTGGACACTAGACAAAGAGCAAGACAATAGCTGTCTTCTAAATATTAATCCAGGAGGGGTTAATAAGAGACAAAAACCAATAAACTGCATTGAATACCCTAAAGAATAACTGCTCTTTTGAAGTAATGATGTAATGAAGTAATGATGAGCACCACAAACTCACATACTTGAGCACATGGTGCAAGTGGATAATGGCACAAGATTGGAGGAAGTAATATCTGGCTTAGGAGACTTCCATAAGGCTCTCCCACAGCTCAATAGCTGTCCCATGGAATTCCTCTGAGGTTTGGAGTTCTCTCTGTAAAGTTTCCACTCATTATTTCTTTTCTTATCCTTAAATGCTCTGGAGACTAAATCCATATTCTCCAGTCTGATATCCCTTCATGTACTGGAGGAATATTATCATGTCTCCCTATAGCCTTCTCTTCCACAAGCTGAACATGTATAGTTCCTTTAACTATTGTTTGTAGGATTTAGCCTCCAAGTCCCTTATTGTACTCGTTGCTCTTCTCTCCACTCTTTTCAGTCCCTTAGTGTCCTTTTTGTATTGTGGCAATCAGAACTGGACGTAGTATTCCAGGTACAGTTGGACCAGTGCAGCATATACTGTAACTCTGTTGCTATAGCCCCAAACTGTATTTTGGCAATTGCAGCACAATTATGCATAATCTGTGGTTTACAAAAACTTCCAGTTCCTTCTTGTAAGTACTACTGCGAAGCCTGACGTGTACCTGTGTATCTGTTTTTTTCTTGCCAAAGAACAGAACATTACATTTGTCAACACTGAACATTTGGCTGGATAGGTTCCAATATTCATGCTTATAAAGTCCTTCTTCAATTGTCAGGTTCTTTTCTGGGGTGTTAGCAATCAGCCTCAGCTTTATGGACATCCACAAAGTTTATGAACATCCCTTCTATTCCCTCATCTAACTTATGAAGATGTTGAGGAGCATTGGGCCCAAGCAGAACCCCGACATATTCACTGCATACTCTGCTCCATGTGGACATAGACACATTAAGGACAACACGTTGGATATAGTTGTCA